ACTTACTTTATTTTGCATTTGTTTGTGTTATTAAAGCACATGTAAGTCTTTATGTCATTCTGCGAGCAAAAGCCCAACCACAAACCAAGCTGTTGGACCAGAACAAGCTGGTGTCTCTCTCAGACTCTGAGCACACCTTTTTGATCAGCTGCCAGGAGGGTTTCTGAGGACGTAAGGTGTCAAAAGTTGGCAAAGATCACTGAAAAAACTGGTTTTCTTCTTTACAAGCTCTTGCCTCAAAGTTCCGGCAAGTTTTGAAATGTGCTCTACAAAAGCAATTGGCTTTATCTTTGTAAAAAAAAAAAAAAGAGTTATTTACTGTTCCTTTCAAAGCAATCAAGGCATGCATTAAAACGGATTCACTTGCAGAAACATCAGGCGTTACAACAAAAGCATTCTGTCAGCTTTATACCTTTTTTTATCTTTTGATCTTCTTGTGAAGTCACAACATGAAATAGGAAATCTTAACAAGTAAAAACTGTATATGAATTGTGGGGAAAATACTTCTAGCCGTTTGCTAAGAATTGACCATGCATGCATGTAAACTGATTTATTTCGGACAGACAGACAGATAAAAAAGTTTCATTGTCTGAGCAAATATAAAAAAAAATGAAAGTCAGACTCTAACATTGGCTGCTTCTTTAGGGAGAAACCACAGCTATGTCAGCTTAAGCTCAAGATAACACACGGACCAAAACAGGATATTAAAAAAGGAGTTCACGGCTCCCAAAAAGGTCCATTCCAGCTTGTTGTTGGTATTTACTGCATGCAACTCTCTGTCCAGGAATCACATTTAACTTCACTCAAGAGCCCCATTAAAACAAGAGGCCACTTCCTTACAGAAATCTCACAAAAATGCTGTAAGATGCATGAACACATGGCTACATCTAAGTTAGAAAAGCTTTCTTGTCATATGGATATTGTTTTGTGAACTATTTTGGTAGCAGAATGGGGCTATGGCCTGATTTTGAGTCAAAAACAATCAATATACTGTGATATATTGATGTTCTATACCTTTTTGCTTCTTGGTTGTAAGGTGTTCATTGTGTTTATTTGGGGTATAGCCTCGAAAGGAAAATGTATTTGTGATGGCTGATTATTTCAAATAACACCTTTTTTTCATAGATTCATATTTATTTTATCACTGCTGCACTTTAGAAATGAATGTCTTGACAGCTGTACTGAATGAAATTTAATTTTGTATACACTCTGTGTGTCTCTAAGTAAATGTCTGAACATGCTGGTGAAGATTCTCAGTCATCCAGGTCATAGTCATTCCAAAAGAAAAAAAAATTAAAAACAATCTACTGGACTTTGTTTCCAAGTTTGAAGATGTTTCCAAGAAGCTTTTTCAATTCAAAATGTCAGGAATAGCGTCGAGTTCAAGGCTATATACAGTCGCCCAACAAAGCCTTGTTTTTATTTTGAAAACATGCAAACTGCAACAGACGAACGGGTCCACCCTTTTGGAATGGGGGTCGTTTGGCTTCTTTTGTTAGGCTGCAATGCCCCATACCTGTCTAAGTGTCTGAAAGGTCGGTCGTTAAAGGGGATTGTTGACCTGGCTGAATAGAAGAGGTCCTCCACTATCCTGTACAGAGGCTGGGGTTGAGATGATAGATGAGGGTGACTGAATGTGTTAGCGGTTTATATCTTCAGTCAAGACTCATCTTTACATCTTATTTGACAGACTGATTAAACGTCTGTGTAATTATGGAGAGAAATGTGTTAGTTGCGCATTTATATAGATGGATAAACTAATAAGTAAGAAATAATTTGTAAGTGAATGGCAAACAAATTTTAGCATTTAAAGGTAAAACTCAAATAATGTATTTAAAGCTACAGTGTGTAATAATTACAGGGATATACAGTCAGAAATGTAATATATTATACATACCTATGTTATTTATCATCATCTACGAGCTCAGCCTCTTAACCTTAATATTTGCGTTGCCTTAGAATTCGTTATTTATAATTACATAGGAGCGGGTCTCGCAGCCATGGAGGCAGACATCTTTGCGCTACGGCAGCGCAGAGCCAACGAACTAGCGATTGCGAGATCGCCCATTACGCTCGAAAGTAACTACGGCAAGTTGAGAGAGATGAACTGAAATCTATACCCTACACAGACTAATGAAATACTATCTGTAAAATTATCTATGTAAACAAGCCTCATCACTTGAGAAGGTAGGTGATGCGGACGTCGTGGAAGACATTTTGTCCCGTAACGCTCGCCGTACTGGGGGGAGAAGCGGTGGAGGGGAGATGTTCATGTTGCTACAGTCTGCAGTCTGGACGTTAGATGTTGCTGAAAATTACACACTTTAGCTTTAACTTTTTATCAAGCTATCAAAAACAGAAAATCCGGAAACAGGACAGTATTGCCAGACATTTATCAGAAAATATGAAAAAAGCATTATAAGAAAAAACAGTTTTTTTCCAACATTACTCAGTTTCTTAAACTAAAAATGTTATAATTGTAACATGGGGAAGGGTTGTATTAGATGTTCATTTAACTACAATATTGTTAAAAACATACTTTGTTTCATATCTTGATTAGTTTTCTGGTACCTTCATTGCTGTTTGGTTATTTTTTTTGTTTTTAGCTTTAACACTAAATAACATTTCCTAATTGTTTTTCTTCACTATTGTGTTTTTTTTCTCCTTCAGTTAATATAAACTTCCCTTCGGTGTTTTTTTTATAATCTGCTTACATTTACTAGTCTAGCTTTTTTCATAATTAAATGTCTTTAACTCAAACAATTAGCAGGATTAAAGTTTAATGAAATACATTTTCGAAATGTAATTCAAAACTTATTTACCAGAAGCATGTAGGCACTGAATCAGCATCCAGAATTGGAATCCAGTGGAGTGGTTGTGCTTTCTGTGGAATCAAGGTTATTACTGGTAGATTCCTCTGGATGACATCATCAAACCAGGACTTTATCACTGGTGCGCAGCATCTTTATTCATGAAGAAAAAAATGATGCATGTAGTCTGATGAAGGCTTTACTTTCTTTATAGATGCTATTTTGCTAAGATATCAGAATTTAGTTTCATTTGAAGGAAATACCACTTTCATGCTTTTCATTTGTTGTTTAAGGCTTTCTAATAAATTTTTCCAATTTAAGATTATATTAAACTTTCAGGAATTTGTTATATTCAGCAAAAATTTCCCCTTTTTATCAAGTACTTCTAAACAAATTCCAAAGAAGTCACTGTTTTATAATATATATCTATGGCTTATATTTTTAAATCAAATATGTTGAGTATGATAAACAAAACTGGGCAACCAAACTGATCTACATACGTCATACTTGCATATTTACAACACATTGAGTGCATTGCATACTTACTTTGGCTCGGTGTCAGTATGGCTGGCCAGGCTAATGAAAAAGACCATTCACCATCCAATCCCAGACCTCCAAACCCACAACTTCCAATGAAGCAGCTAAGTATTTCACTGTCCTACAGTCCAGATCTGTCTTTAATTTAATAATGCTTATGGTCTTATGTAGAGGAAAATAGCAGACAATGATGACCACAAAATACTGTGCAGCCAAAATCTAAAATTCAACAGAATTGACAGTTTTTTATGTGTTGGAAAAGTTCAAAGAACCGTAGCAGCCAAAGAAATAAAAAGAAATGTGTACGCAACACAAAGGACATGCAGGCCTCCTACAGTTTTTTTTATTCATAAACCAGATTAAATAGAATTACCTTTAAAGCTTCTTATCAGTATTTATTATGTCATTTAAACAACTCTGCAACATATAACTATGAATATATATTTTGCAATTTTCAACCACACATTACCAACAACAAATGGAAGATAATGCAAGTACGTTTTTTTAAATCGTCATCCTTTTACTTAAGAAAACTTTTTAAACATTGAATAAATACTGGTCATTCCAAATCAGGTAGATGGGATCCCATCTCTGTTCATTCTGAGAAACATCCTTAACATACAATGTGTGCCTAAGGACTGAGAAATGATAGAGTGATTGACTCTATTGATCTTACAGTGGAGTAATTTACTCGTTACATCAGCTCAAAGGAGTCAAAGGAGAAGAAGAGACCAAAGGAAGAAAAAGGTGCATGGGTAAATGTACAGTATATACATTGTGTCCACATATGACAGCTTTTTAGGATTATTATATTGCACAGGCTGTTTCCATCGATGTTTATATAGATGGATATTTATATTTATTTATAAAGTTTTTGCACTGGGTATCGAATAGTAATAGCCCATTACACATAAAACAAGTCATTGTCATTGTAGTGTTGCATTGTAGAGTGCATTGTAACACTTTGTCAATTTGTTTCTGAATTAACTCATGATGACCTTTACTGCTTTCTTAAAAAAAATCAAGGCACATGCTGTAAATCACAAGGAAATATAGTCTGTTTCAGTTTTTTTTATTTGACAATGTTTTTGAAATATACATGTACTACCTGATACGCTGATTTCATCTGTCAACACAGTTCCAGGGAGAGCCCTATCTATCTACACATGTATCTGTCTGTCTGTCTGTCTGTCTGTCTGTCTGTCTGTCTGTCTGTCTGTCTGTCTGTCTGTCTGTCTTGTATCACCAATAATTATTAACTAGGCCTCTATACTGTAAGTTAATCTTGATAACAAGTAGCCATCAAAAACTTCTAGTTGGATATTTGTGCATTCATCTTGGAAGAATTGGTTCAGGTCAATTGAATTTCTTGGTTCCCTGCCAACTGCACGTTGAGGCAGCTGCTTTGAGAAGGAAACCTCGGCTGGGTTTGGTGTTTTACACTTAACACAGTCCAAGAACACGCATATTACGCTAAAAACCAAAAAATATATATGCACAATATAAAACTACACAAAAACAATTGTTATTGATAGTTAAATTATTAAGATATTATAAGACTCATGGTGGCAGTAGCCTGAAAAAAAGACGCAAAGCTGGTTAAACATCACGCTCATTAGACGATCTTTGAGGACACCTGTCACCTAGCAACCAGTTGTAACAAATCGCTAGCTCAGCTGCGGTTCTAGGAGTGTTTCCCGAAAAAGCCTGCGTTTAAAGTAAAAATGGTTAAACAAACGATACAAATATTCGGACGTATTAAGCCCACGAAGAAACCCGCGGCGGTAAGTTCATAGTTCACGACCTGATTAGCACGACTTTACAGAAAGTGAAACTATATAAAGTAGTCCGACTGCGTTTTAATACTTTATATAAAGTCTTTATTTAGACAAGCTTTTTAAACTGCAGTATCACACCGCGTGCAAAAATATGTAAATAAGGAGTAACTGAACTCAACTTCCAATAATGCTTCTGTCAAACACTAAATCTCATTAAGTGTGTTTTTTTCCACACTAAATAAGATTTTGTTTTCCTGACTTGTCAGTTAGGACTTTAATGATGATGACTGCTTTCCATAAAGTGTCCCAATAAATCATTCGGATGAACAGGAATCCACAAAAGAGTCTCTGAGCCCCTGGAGCTGGCAACACCTGAAAGGAATGCAGTTATTTTACATTTTGTTCAGTGACACAGTACATGTGCATCTCATGCAGTAACTTGTCTTTTTTTCATTTCCATAAAAACTATTTATGTGATAAAGTTCAAATTATTCTGACTTTCTGTTTTTAAAACACAAGGATAGTGTATATTTTTAAAAATGTTTTAAAAATCTATTTGAGAAATGTAAAAATAGTTTGTATTTTCCCTACTACAAATGAAATTTTAGGCAGCTTTTACATATCCTCTCCTGACAGGTCTGGTATAATAAGATTTTTGCTGCAAACCTTTCAGGAAGAGTGTATTATACACCGAATAAAACTGTAACTTTGTGTTTTTAAAGCTCTTTTTTGAGTATAAACTTTTCTCCACTCCTAAACTTCTGCAGCGCTTTAGCTTTACCTGACAATATTCACCAGAATGAAAGAGCACATCTTTGTCCTGGGGGCTTTTCAGGGTTTGGCACATATCTCTGGAAAAGGAGCGTTGATGAGCATGGCAAAGCAACAAACAGGGTGATGGTGGAAAACCAATCTAATCACTGGGGCCATATCTTTTTTTTTATTCCTCCAGCCCTGGAGATCACTAATTACATCAGTGTCCATTGGAAACATATGCCAGAAGCTCTAAAGCGGAGAACGTGGGTGTGCAGAGGACCCCAGCCGATCCTATTTAAATGGCCTCCGGTGCTAGAGCTCAGTAGATATTGGTTTAATGTTCTACAATTTTCCTTTTCTCCCCTGAGGCCTGGTTTTGGCTTGAATCTGCAGAGCCTGCATGCTCTTTGGGCTGATCCTGATTGCCTCTTTACTTCCTTTTGCTTTTCGCTGAATACATGCGCCATAAACTGCCCTCTTTTCTTTCCTGGGTTATGCGATGCTCAAACCACAAACGTCCAAACCTATATATCTAACTTGATGTATAGACATTTTGTTGAATTTGGACTGCAAATATGACACCACATACAATTATGGCATAGAATCTGTAAAATATATAGTAGAACGGTACATGAATGTTTATGTGACTGCTCTCAAATGCTTCCTAAATGTCATATTATGCTAAACTTTCTGCCTATAGTTACCACTTATACTGTATAAGTTATGTGACTGTTTCTGTTGCCTTTGGATCCCTCAGGTATACTCTGTGGATCAAAAGGAGGATACAAATGCTTCTCTTGAGTTTTTGGTACCTAGGGACCTGGCTGATGGCTTTGTTAACAACAAGAGAGAACGCTACAAGTTCAGGTATTTTCACCTAAAGAAGTTTTCCCCCCTTAAAATAAGTCCCTTTTTAGTTCTTAATACGTCTACTGCTGGGTCCATGTTTCAGAAAACTTTTATTTCAATGTTCTACTAATCTTCCATCTGGCATTGAAAGTTTTAAATACACAATGGCATTCAAGCTGCTTTGCTAAAACGTAAAGAAGTTAAAAAGATGTTAAAAATCTGCAAAGGATTAAAAAAATTTCATATCCATATCTTATTAGCCTCTAGTGGCTTTTGTTTTTTGTATTTTTGGAAAGTATGCAGACAGGAAACGGGATTAGAGGGGGGGAGGAAGAGATGTTGCAAAGGTCTCCAGGCTAGAATCCATATTTGATAGTAAAAATGACACAAAAATAAATTTCTAGCCCTCATTGGAAAGCTACTGTAATTCAAAATATTGATTAATTGAGTTTATTGATCTCACTGTGGAGAATTTTACTCGTTACATCGGGTGTGGTGAGTCGAGCAGCAATAGCTACATTTTTCCAACTCCAGCATCTGCTGCTTGTGAAGCGCATCATGCACGTCAGATTCTCAGAAGCTCATGAGGCGCCACTTCAGCTGCTCAGACGCGTCAAGATGCGCTGCTCCTGCTGCTCAAAACCTGCTGCATGACCTTTTCATGCTCCTTGATGCGCTCCAACCACTGACTTTGCATGTAAACTAGCTGCTTCTGCTGCCTCTATCGCTTGTGGCGACTTTAATATCTGTACTATTTCAGGTTATGCACAACTAAAGTGGCAGGTAGAGAATTTCCAGTTATGAATGGTTTATCTTAGAGGTACAGTGTCAAATGGTTGAAAAAACAAACAGATGCAATAATAATTCTGGAGCACAAGAGAGATAAACGAATAACTAGAGGTTAAACTATAAACTGTTTGTCTTATCCTTCCAAAAAGGAAAATTAAAAACAATCCACTGGACTTTGTTTCCAAGTTTGAAGATGTTTCGCTTCCAATCCAGGAAGCTTTTTCAGTTCAAATGTCAGGAGTAGAGTTGAGTTTGAGGTTTTGTACAGTAGCCCAACAAAGCCTTGTTTTTGTTTTTGCATTGTTTTTAATTTTCTTTTTTCGGAATGACTATGACCTAGATGAGTAAGAATCTTCACCAGCGTATGCTTGTCTTATCCTTTAAAGAACTGGACTAATAGCCTGGCCAGCAGGACTGACTTACATGGGGCTGTAAGTCAGTCTGGTAAGGCTTAATACTTTCCGGTCTAAAACAGACCGGACCAATCATAGCGCAGGAGGCGGGTCCATAATGCAACAGTGCTTTTCTGTAACCATAACAGTCGCGATTGCAGCTGCAACCAAGCAATGTTTTAATGATAGCTTTCATAAAAAAAAAAAAAAAAAAAAAAGTTTTATTTGACTGATTCCAAGCTGTTTCCGCTGACTCTGTTAGTGCTGCCTTTGTCTGCTCCTTTTCAGGCTGATAAACTGTGCAATCAGCTAAAGTCAGTCGCAGTGGTCAGACTATGTCTCTAAAGGAAACTTTGTCTTTTTATTCAATCTAAGCATCAGATTAGTACAAATGAATTAAAAAAAGCTGCATTAAGGATAACCAACACTCCGACCTAGCTCATATGGCTACATTGGAACTTTTTCCCCATGAATAATTCATCCACAAGTCCTGTCAGGGAAGAGCCAGAACATCTGTTTAATGCTTGGCTGCAGCCTCATATACCCTCTGTGCAGAGCCCATGCCATGCTTCCAAGCCTTAAATTCACAGTTAGAAAGTCTGACAGCAGTGGACACTCAGAGCCTCTAAAAACCACACGGTCTTATAATAGCTTGCAGAGGTTCCCCTGTGCCCTTATAGCAATAAAGTTTCCACTTTTAACAACCTTTCTTTGGGCGGATTCTGCTTAAACTTCTCCCCATCTTTCTATGGGTTAAAACATGATAGGTTTAGGTTGTTTTCTAAAACAAAACCACTAGGTCTATTTCAGACATTTAGCAGACAGCTGTGGATGTTGGACATAAATATAATTTCAGGGGCTTTTAGCTTGTTTAATCAGTGCAACCTTAATTAGAACATCTTTGTTCTTTTCTGTTGCTCTCCAGGTTCCAAAAAGTGTTTGATCAACATGTTAATCAAGAGGCAATATTTGAAGAAATAGCCAAACCAGTAGCAGAAAGGTAAGTGAAAGAATCTGTCATTTTTATCTAATTGCTCCGCTTTAGTTTTTTACTTTTCATAGACATCTATTTATGCTTCATTCTCTCTCAGACTAAAGTTAGGCCACACAGATTCAGGCCAGGCTTGTTGACAGGAAGTCAGTAAAGCTCAGCTTTCTTTAAGATGGAAATGAGGGGGGGTCTGTGATGTTTGGCACATTTTAAGCACTTAAACCACTAAGTGGATGGAGCTGGCAGACAAGATGGCACACTGTGCCATCTTGAGAGTGAGAGTGTTTTCTAGCCACAAAGCTGTAGTCTCTGTATTTAACACAGGCTTACAGTAAATGTACACTTGATGTATTTTTTTTCTAATCCAGACTGGTGGTTTTTATATCTAAATAGGGAAGTGGAGGAATAAACACAGTTTTGTTTGCCATTTTCTGATATGGTCTGTTGTTTTTATTTTTACTTTTTATTATTTATTTCAAACTTGTTTGTATTTCCTGGTTCCTTATTTTAGTTAGCCCCAGACATGGTTTCCTTACAAGTTTTTTTTTTTTTTTTTACAGTTTTGTTTTAAGTTTTGCAATTCCCACATTCTTTAGCTGTTTTAGCACCTAGATTACTTTTTTTCCTCATTTCCTTATCTAAGCATTGTTCCCAGCTCTATTTAGGCTGCTGTCTCCCTCCCTTGGGGCCAAATTAATATCATGTTCCCTCCATGAAAGTTAACCGTGTTAATCCACTTCATTTGCTTAGGCTTGTTGGTGTCATCTGGTTGGATTTCATTGATAGGATTTTTAGTCTGCCTTTTTGTGTTCTCTTATATTGAATTTTCACCTCCATCTTTTGTAGTTAACTGTGTCACTAAATCTGATGTTAAACATTTCTATGTAAAAAGTATTTGAAAAAATATTAAATAATCTCATACTAAAAGTTTTAAAACAATGCAACCTCTAAGTTTTGTGCATTATTTAGTAGCAAAAATGACCATATTTGTAAACATTTGTGGCCTTCACCACTGTTTATGTAAACTTACCTGGTAGTGATGTTATGAATTGGCTGAAGCTTCGAGGCGTGTGTTAAATAGTGGAGAGGACGTTTCTGCGAAGCTCGTATCCAGGCTTGCTTCATTTGGGGGATGGGCCAAATAGATGAACTCTGAAGCATCGCTACCCCGCATTAACACATGACCGCTTCAGAAAGTGCTTCAGCTCGCCCTGAACTTCGACAGGCATTCAAACAGCCTCAGTCACCAGTGAAGATGTGGGAGTGTGTAGGAGAGTTGCGGTCAGTTGGATAGAGTTTGTTTATATTCTAGGAATACATTGGTTGGAAAACAACCAATCTGTCATAAACAGGACAGAATGACCCAGTATTCAAGCTGAGTCGGACAAGGGGAAGTTTCAAAACGTTTTGATAACAAAAAAATAATAAAACAGAACAGAAGAGAAACGTGGGCTGCTGAGGATAAGCTGACTGCAGCGGCTGCAGGGGGGCGAGGTGCAACCCATCGCTGGCACTCTGGATGTGGGAGAAACACAGGTAAGTGACCATGATCATCTGACAGAGCGAGTCATTTACCTGGTTTAACAGTTCAGTCCATCCTTTCTAAGAAGGCAAGATCCAGCTGATGGATTGCCAAATGAGATGCGGCCCAGAGCCGTCCAAAGTGCTCCCGGTGCACCAACCCAAGTGAGCAAGCAGGAGACCGATCCAGGTCAGAGAAACAGTTCAGAACCAGACAGTTCTGAGATCCAGGAGTCCATAGCCCAACCAGCGATCCTGATGCAAACAGGAACAGACAGATCCAGGGTTCCAGGAATCCGAGCTAATTTGAGGGCTCAGCGGAGAAGAGCCAGGACATGACCAGGAGACAGAAAACAAACACCAAACCCTCTCAATTCACTGACATTTCACTGACCTTCTGCTGGAGGTTTCTTCCTGTTAAAAGGGAGTTTTTCCTCTCCACTGTCGCTACAAGCATGCTTAGTGTGGGGGATTGTATTTGAGTCAATGAGTCAATGCAATCAACTGGTTTTCCTTAGATAGAAAACTTTGTATCAATTTGACTGTATGATCTGGTTGAACTGTAAAGTGCCTTGAGATGACATGTGTTGTGAATTTGGCGCTATATAAATAAACTGAATTGAAATTGAATTGAATTGACATCGAAACATAATGATAACATAACACTAACAAACAAAGAATAGAAGAGTACACTATGAATACAAACGAATAATGATCTGGCCCCGATAGCTGGGATGAACCATATATATATAGCAGAGGAAGCAGGTTAATAAGATCAATGATAATTAGAGAACGACGAGGGAATGGCAGGTGAATGAAGTGTGTAATCAGATTAGCTACCGGGGCTATGTTCATGACACAATCTAGTTTGGGTAAAATTATTTGTGTTAGTTTGAACCATGTAATGATCAGAACCTGAGAAAGCCAGTGGTTACAGTTTTTACATTAGTGTTAACTAGTATTGCTTTCCAGAATGCAGTTACCATTGTTAGTTGCGTTAGCTGTAAGATATATACTTCCAATCCTGAGGTTGTTGGTTTGAGACTCAACTAAGACTTTTTAAAAGTTACAATAATACTTAACAAGTATTTTGTCAAATGTGCCTATTTTGTATTTGTTTGCCCTTGTACAAATATAGATTGGGTAAAAACACTACCAAATTAGATTGGCTGGTTTAGCTAAAAGATTGCTTGAACATATAACTTCCAACCCGAATAAAACCAAAAACTGTGGAAAAACTATTATTTTTACAGTAAGTACCACTGCCCTGTGGATTTTAGGTGTTTCTTTACTGCTACACAACTAACTTAAATAAACTAGCCATGGCCAACACTTGATGGCTGCTGAGGAGTCTATGTAATCGTTTGAATCAGGTGTGCAGCAACAGAGAGCCATCCAAAACATGCAGGTTGGTTGTACTGTACTTAATGACCAGGATGGAGAGCCAGTGATATACAACATAAAAAGTGCAGCATGTTTAACATTTTCAAAGGTTAATACAAATTAACCAAGGCAAAGGTGGGCTGTCTTCTTCAATTTATTGCGGTCACTTATACATTAATGGGACGTTTCTCTTAATAAACAAAAGCATTTTCGCTTTTATATCCGACAGGAGAATTATTTTCTCATCTACCACATGTCCAGCCAAGGTAAACAGTAGCTCGCTTCCAAAACATTGTGCACAGGCAGAGGCATAGGCCCGGACAAGTAGAGAAAGAAGAGGAAAACAATTTTCATTGAAATCCAGAAGGCAAATTGGTCCTGGCTCCTGTTGATGGGAACTTCAGATAGGGTTAGTTAGCTATTGCTCCTTATCTGTGTTCTCCCTCAGGCTTTTATCACGTACTGCAAATGGTAAACTAAACCTTTTGGCTGCAATTGCAATCCCAAGTTATTGGATATTCCTGCAACAGGATTCTCATTTATATGTGTGCACCTTCTAGAGAGGAAGATTGAAATGAAAGCTAGTTTTTGGCAGCAATATACACTATATTGCCAAAAGTATTTGCTCACCTGCCTTGACTCACATATGAGCTTAAGTGACATCCCGTTCCTAATCCATAGGGTTCAATATGACGTCGGTCCACCCTTTGCAGCTAGAACAGCTTCAACTCTTCTGGGAAGGCTGTCCACAAGGTTTAGGAGTGTGTTTATGAGAATTTTTGACCATTCTTCCAGAAGCGCATTTGTGAGGTCGCACACTGATGTTGGACGAGAAGGCCTGGCTCTCAGTCTCCGCTCTAATTCATCCCAAAGGTGTTCTATCGGGTTGAGGTCAGGACTCTGTGCAGGCCAGTCAAGTTCATCCACACCAGACTCTGTCATCCATGTCTTTATGGACCTTGCTTTGTGCACTGGTGCACAGTCATGTTGGAAGAGGAAGGGGCCAGCTCCAAACTGTTCCCACAAAGTTGGGAGCATGGAATTGTCCAAAATGTCTTGGTATGCTGAAGCATTCAGAGTTCCTTTCACTGGAACTAAGGGGCCAAGCCCAGCTCCTGAAAAACAACCCCACACCATAATCCCCCCTCCACCAAACTTTACACTTGGCACAATGCAGTCAGACAAGTACCGTTCTCCTGGCAACCGCCAAACCCAGACCCGTCCATCAGATTGCCAGATGGAGAAGCGCGATTCGTCACTCCAGAGAACGCGTCTCCACTGCTCTAGAGTCCAGTGGCGGCGTGCTTTACACCACCGCATCCGACGCTTTGCATTGCACTTGGTGATGTATGGCTTGGATGCAGCTGCTCGACCATGGAAACCCATTCCATGAAGCTCTCTGCGCACTGTTCTTGAGCTAATCTGAAGGCCACATGAAGTTTGGAGGTCTGTAGTGATTGACTCTGCAGAAAGTTGGCGACCTCTTCGCACTATGCGCGTCAGCATCCGCTGACCCCGCTCCGTCAGTTTACGTGGCCTACCACTTCGTGGCTGAGTTGCTGTCGTTCCCAAACACTTCCATTTTCTTATAATACAGCTGACAGTTGACTGTGGAATATTTAGGAGCGAGGAAATTTCACGACTGGATTTGTTGCACAGGTGGCATCCTATCACAGTTCCACGCTGGAATTCACTGAGCTCCTGAGAGCGACCCATTCTTTCACAAATGTTTGTAAAAACAGTCTGCATGCCTAGGTGCTTGAATTTATACACCTGTGGCCATGGAAGTGATTGGAACACCTGATTCCAAAAATTTGGATGGGTGAGCAAATACTTTTGGCAATATAGTGTATGTCAGTTGTATTTTATTTATTTTTTTCATGAAACTTTAGTTAGAAAAGAAATGGTCTCGGATTTGATAGGAACAAATCTGAGGTTAGATTTTTAGGCCATCATGCTCAGCCCTGGACCGCATCATCCCAGATACGGATCTCTAACCAGCTAAAGCTAACTTCTTGACAAGATCTTTTGCCTGGTCTTTTGATCAGGGTTCATTTCATATACTTGTGCACCGAAACACATTAATCACTGGAACATGAGTGGTA